TTCTGATTAAAGTTATAAAGTTAAATCAATTCAGCAAGCTTAGAAAGAAGCTTGGAGTTGTATCTTTTGTTCATCACATAAATTAAGGAAGGATGTGGTTGTAACTAATTCAAATAAGTTTGTAAGTGACGGAAGATTGTTGTTATAAGTAACTGAAATAAGTATGTAACTAATGTTTATTTGTTTATTGTATTGCATTAAGTGTTGACCAAACTATATGATATATGCTGTAAATAACTCATATAAGTCTACAACTAGAGAAATATATTACATTCTTCTCTAATTACAAACTTATAGACTTATATCGGTTACTTACAACAAATTCTTGTTTTTGCTATGTTCTTAAATGAATGAAAAATTAAAATGTTTTATATGATAAATTCAGGTATTATATATATATATATATATATATATATATATATATATATATATATATATATATATATATATATATATATATATATATATATATATATATATATATATATATATATATATATATATATATATATATATATATATATATATATATATATATATATATATATATATATATATATATATGCATGTGTTATGTCCGCATGAACATGATCAGTTTTGTTGCACCGTCCAAATCTTAGGGGCTTAACATAATTGATTCTATGAAAAGGGAATGCATGATTGAAGGGAATGGCCATAGTTTGAGATTGGGCTTTATGACTATTTTTCAAATAAAAAAAGAGTTGAAATGAAATTAAACTTAAAAAGTGGGTTTTTATAACATTAGTAATCAAGCACCGACAATTAGCAATCTACTGGACCTAAACATTTTACATTAAGCTATGTTGCCTGACACGTGGATTACCCTTCACCTTCATTATTATGGACTAACCAATTCATGTTTGTTTACATTTTAGACATACATAGTTTGTTCTAATTATATAAAGGAGAATTTGCTCACTTCAACAAAGCAAGGGTGCTCAAAGGGTGCACATTAAGAGATAATAAAAGAAAATGTGCCATGCATAAAAAAACCTTATGGACTATATTATTATAATATTTTTTAAATAAAAATATGTTAATAATAAATAGAGTTAAATATGTATGAGGTCTTTATAAATATGTCAACTTTTAAATTTAGTCCCTCTAAAATTTTCTTTTAAACAATGGTTCTCACAAAATTTTTCGTCCCTATATGTGGTTCCTTCCGTTAGTTTCTACTAACGGACGTTTATGTGACATGTCATGTGAATTTTTTTGATGACGTGACATACATGTGACAATGTCAACATGCCAAAAAATGCTGACATGAATGACACGTGTTAATTATTTCCATTTTAAACTTTTTATATTAATATCATATCTAAACCTAGAAATGACAGCTAAATTGTCACAAAAACAAATCATTCAAATCTTTGCTACTTACAACAAGTGCAGATAGTAAGAATGTTGAGAAATATCGTTGGTACTTCAAGTCTAGTTCTTTTATTTTTATTTTTATATATTTATATATTTATTATTTTTCAAAGGGTTAAATATGTATGAGGTCCCTATAAATATGACAACTTTCAATTATAATCCCTCAAAAAATTTTCTTTAAACAATGGTCCCCATAAAGATTTCCATCATGAAAAATGGTCCCTCCCGTTAGTTTCCTCTAACAGAGGGTGATGTGGCATGCCACTGGGATCCTTGTCATGGTCACATCTAATTGAGTTGGAAGAATTGTTTTGTTATCATAAATAGTAGAGGAATAACGTGTGAACCATAATCCCTTTGCTCACCGTCTTCATATTCCTCTTCTTATTCATTTATATCGTTCTTCTTCTTCTTCTTCTTATTCCCTCAGCCATCTCAGAAAAATGTCATCTTCATTTAGGTTAAGCAAATGAGTTTCTTACTATTCAAAGAGTGTGACAAATTGTGGAGGGAAAAAGGTGTGGATGCAATGGTTTTATTATTTCATACATGTGCAAGAATGGAAAGAACAAAGGTCAACTATTTTGGAGGTGTCTGTATTGGAAAAACGAGGAAACCTGCAATTTATTTATATGGGATGATGAAATTGCAAAAGTCAAGGATGATGAGGAATGTGCAGATTCAGAATGGTGGAAGGACGATAGTGATGTGACAAAAATGCAAGCTTTAGAAACTCTGAAGGAGCTCTACGAATCATCAATGAAGAAGAACAAGAGGTTGAAGACGAAGATTAAGACAAAAGTATTTTGGGGGAAGCTGAAGACATTATGTGTTGTAGTTTCAGTCTTGTTCAATTTATATATTTTAATTAGGTGTAATTGTTGATTAGGTGTAATCATAAGTAATGTTTGTGTAACTATTAATGTTGTATAAGTGATCTGTTGTTAAATGTAACATGAATTGGTTTTTTTGAAATACAAATTGGTATATTCTATTTGTAATTCATTAAGTATTGTTAAATGGATATGTTGAATATGTAGTTTCAGTTGTAGAACATAGTTTTGACACAACCTGACCTATAAAATGGACATAATATGAGTGTATAAAATTGACTGTATAAAATTGGACATAGTTTCAACTAATTAGTATTGTTTTGTATGTCTAAAATTTAGAGTACTAATCAACAGATCAACATAATTCACATTGAGAGTACATAAGTATAATATTACAGGTTCATTAACTTAAAATTGAGAGTACAACAATATTCACATTGAGAAACTGATTAAAAGATTTCACATTGAGAGTACAACATAATTTATTAACTTAACATGCCATAACAGGTTCAAAAGAGTACATCAGTACAATATTACATTACATCAAAAGAACATGATTTGTTCAAAAGGCTACATCAGTACATCACATTGAGCAAAAAAGTAAATTACATCAAAATATTTGTTCCTAAACAAATCCATCTGTCAAAAACTAACGCTTCATTGGGTTTGACCTTTTCCATTAGTGTTGTCTTCTTCAGTTAGATCCAAAGGGTCATTGGGTTTCTTCCCAGGGCCAGGAATGTTTTTTTTTTCAAGGACCTCAATCTTTCATTATACCTTTTTTCTGCTGCAACATTGGTCTGTGTCTTGCACCTGCTCCGGGTCTTAAACTTAGGTGGTTCACTTGAACTTGGCCTTGAAATATTTTTTCTAATACCAAGGGGTTTGAAAGGCTTATTCTTGCATACTTTGGGTTGCTTACCCAATAAAATCTTGACATTACTTTGCTTTGGTGCAGTTGCCTTGAGAGGTGATTTGTCAACCCTTAAAGGTTGTATATCCAAGACCTCATCACCTCCTAATGATGCAGTCAGAGTTTCATCTAATGAAGCACGTGTAGCATTGTCAGTTGGATCACATGGTTCAATTACCATTTCACTTGTTGGATCAATTGGATTAGTTGGCTCACATGGTTCAGTGACAGTTGGATCAGTTGACATATCATCAGTTGGATCAGTATTAGCCTTACTTGACTTTCCTTCATTGATAGAATCCGTTCCTTCATTGGCACATGACTTTCCCTCCATGACACATGACTTTCCCTCATTGACACATGATTGTCCCTCCTTGGCACATGAATTTTCCTCTTTGGCAGTTGACTCTCCCTCGTTGGCACTTGAGTTTCCCTCCTTGATAGTTGACATTGCCTCTTTGGTACTTGACTTTGCATATTTGACAATTGACTTTTCCTCCTTGACACATGATTTCCCCTCTTTGACAGTTGACTTTTCCTCTTTGACACATGATTTCCCTTCTTTGACAATTGACTTTGCCACCTTGATAATTAACTTTGCCACCTTGACAATTGACTCTCTCTTCTTGACACTTGATTTCCCATCCATGACAATAACTCCCTCAATTACAACTTGTTCCATATTAACAAATGCATCTCTGACTATTCCCTCATTCACCTTTGTCTTCTTTGTTCCTCCCTTAGATGTACAATTGGTGGTTGATGCTTTAGGCCTCCCCTACACAAAACAAACAAATAATTCACATTGATACCATTGCACAAAATACATAGATAAACAATAATTAGATGTCAGATTTAAGTTAAACAATACTCTTTTTTTGTGTGCCAAATTGACCTTGCTAGTCTGACTTAAGTTAAACATAACTTGTGTTCGTATACAAAATACTCCTCTTCAAAAACCTGAACAAGACCCTAAACCAAGAAAAATTTATTTATATTAGTACATTTAATTGATTGAAAATTATCATATGGAAAATATTGATGAAAGAATAACTTACTTTTTGTTGGTCAGAGATGAAACACCATCTTCCATCTCCTATCTCTTCAATAAGCAATTTTAGAAACCAACTCCATGAATCCTTTAATTCAGTCTCAACAACAGCAAAGGCAATTGACAAATACTGATCATTTGGGTCTCTCCAAAAAACAATAAGTAAAATCTTACCATACTTGTGTTCAAATGGCACCAATCTAGACCAATGAATGGCCTGCATGCCTTTTTCAAGGCATTCTTGGTCCCATCAAAACACATATAGCACCTCTCAAATCTTGGTTTTAAGCCAAAACTAGGAACACTGGTGTTGATCTTGAAAGTGTTCCCAACTGAAGCCCTTCTTAACTCAGCAACATATGATCATAAAAGACTAAATTGCTTGCTAGAATCTCCTTCAACAATTTGTCTTGCAATCTATCTTGCCTTGAATGCTCTACAACCTATAATTTATGTTGCATACCTTTGTCTGACATCTGTTACTACCTTAATTAACCTCATCCTTGAGTTATTCTTCAATCCATTAATAATTACCTTGGACACCCACTCTGCTTTGGCACTTTTGTTGAAGAACTGTCTTCCACATTTTTTCTACACATCACTATATAATCACATTTTTTCTTATCCTTACAAACTACCCTACATCTGTTAGCATCATTTTTTTCAAACTTAACATCCCTACCATTCAAAACATTATGCTCCAAAATGGCATCTTTGAACTGCCTCAAAGAAGAAAACTCCATTCCCACCTTGAAAAAAAATCCTTGCTTAAAGATTCTTCTTGATTAAACCTGATTACACAGGATCATTCATCACAACTATCATCATCACCACAATTGTCTAACTCATCAATCATGTAGGCATCCTCAATGACATGTTCCTTACCCATCTCTTCAGTTATAAACATCTTCTTGTCTACATGAGCAATGCCCTCTTCATTTATAGAAGCTCCATATTTTTGTTCTACTTTAGCTCCATCATCAAACACTTCATCAAGGCCTTCATTAAACCCTTTCATCCTCTCCTCCTCACTATCATCAAAGTGAACTCCTCTAACATATTCATCACTAGAATAATCATTTTTTCAACCAACTTATCAACATCTTCATCACATTTGATTCCTTTTCCCCCTTCTCTAAACCTATCCATAAAGGTATCCTCTCCTACAACTTTGGGCTCACAAAATATCTCAATATCAGACTTATTTCCTATAGCATACTGAAGCTAGTGGGATTATACCTGAGTGAATCGCACACTCAAAGATACAACAGAGTCGCCATCGAACTTTATTTAGTCCCAAAGGACAGGGAAAATATCGATAAAACCCAAGGGAGGAGAAACGGGAAAGGTGGTCAGTTATGCGAAAGGAAGGTACTAACACCTTAAGCATCTGTCGTACTCGACGAGAACCATTTCGCTTGCTTCTAGGCTTGGATGGATTATCCATCTAAAGGTTTCTATCTAAAAAAGGAAGGAAAGAAAAGAAGGAAAAAGAAATAAAGGAAAGTGCTCGCGGAGGATTGGGGCCCTTGTGCCTACGTACCCTCATAGTGCAATGAGGAAGTCAGAGCTCCGTATTTCAAGGAACCAAGAAAAAGAAGAGGATCCAGACGGACCAGAGACACAGAAGAATGGAAGAAGATGGAGGAAGGTGGCTCGCCAAGATTTTGCAATCTTGTGCCTACGTATCCTCATAGTGCAATGAGGAAGTCAGAGCCTACGTAGTTCAGGGAACTAACACTAAAAAAGAAAAGGGAAAGAGACGGCGTCAAAGCCAAGAACCAAAATACAAAGCAAGAGCCAACTGGGGAATGCAAAACAAATGGTGTCAACACCAATAAAGAAGACGAAAGAAAATTCTGCTGAGGAACGGAGAAGCAAAGAAAGAACTCTGTCGGGGAATGCAGAAGAAAAGTGATGACTCCACTAGGGAGAAAACAAAAGAATGGCAATGTGTCCAGGGAAGAAAGAAGTAAAAGACAAGAATAAAAATAAAGATAAGATCCACGGGTGACTCGGTACATTAACTTTAAGCAGTGATTAACAGAAGAAAGATAAGAGTAAAACTTTATGGGGAGAGCAAAAAGGTTGGTGTCAACAGATGGAATGTGACGAACAAGGAGAAAGAGAGTATTACACCAAAGGGATATGTTTAACTCTGAGGGGAAATTGGTATATTAACTGATAAACAGTGGTTAACCGAAAGGAGAAAGGAACTGGTTTTAACCGATAAATGGTGATCAACCAAGAGACGGGTGTGGAACCAAGCAAAGGTCGTGACCCAAAGAACGACAAATTGACTGAATAAACAACACTTGGCCAAAGAAAATGGGCATTCAAACTGAACAAAGGTTACTAACCCAAAGCTGGAAGTGTTTGAACAAAGGAAAGTTGCTAACTACAGGGGGTTCAGTGCTTAACAGACGGGCTGTGATTAACCAAAAAGAATGAGTGATCAACCAAAAGAAGGCGATTAACTCAAAATAAACTCAACATCTTAATGGAAGAGCTTTGGTAAACTGAGAAGAAGAGTGATTGGTTCAAACATGCGAACTATGATTGACCAAAAAGCGGGTGATTAACCAAGAGAAGGTGATTAATCCAAAGAAAAAGCTGGTTTTAACGGGCAGACCGTGATCAACCAAAGATCGGGTGATTAGCCGGAAGAAGGCGATTAAACCAAAGAAAAAGAGAAAATCGGTGTTTAACTGACAGGTAGTGATTAACCAAACATGAAGGATAGAGAACCAAGAGAAGGTTGTGAACTCTGATGGGGATTAGGTTTTAACAGGATGACTGTGTAAACCGAAGAAGAAAGACTGACTTCGATGGGGAAGAAGAGAATTGGTTTTATCCAAAGAACGGTTGAATAGCCGAGGAAAGAACTGATCACAAATATCTGGGGAACCAAGAATGGATTGGCCTCAAGAGAAAAGAGTGTTGAATTGAAAGGAGGAAGTTACTTCCAAAGAGGAGATAAGGGTGCAAGTGACCAAAGATCGACTCGACTGGAGAAAGCATGGATACCACATTAAGGAGATAGAGGCGACTATTTTAGGCACATGGTCATTTGACCCCTACCCAAAATAGTCATAATGAGTGTAGGAATTCTCCACACTCATTCCTTCTCGAACACCAAAGTGCAGTGCAAGAAACGAAACGGGCAGCACAATGGTGCCAAGTTTGTACAGTGCTCTAATGCGTTGCGAATCTTCAACTCCATAGGGGAAAAGAGAGGACAAAGCTCTAGAAGATATAAAGGAGAAGGAAAAAGGAAGGATCGACTAATCGAAACGAAGCTTCAATTAATCAATCAAGATAGGAAGATGCCAACAATTTTCCAAAGGGGATGAAAAATCGTTGAAGCAAAGGATGAATTATTGATTATACAAGATTAAGTTCATTCCAATGAGGAACAAACTTAATGCAAACTTGCATGGAAGTGTAAAACAATACCAAAGGCAATTAATATTCATCACCAATTATGTAGCATGTGATCAAAGAATGTGCAAGAATGATCATGATCATACAATGTCAAAAATACAAATGATCGAGAATCGACAAATCGAAAATTGAAAGTTTGTATACATGCTTTAAACAAAAGGCGAACAGTTCATAAAACAACCACAAATACCAAGCATATCAAGCCATGGAAGTTATATGAGGAAAGTATAGCAAATAAGCTTGTAAATAGGAAAAAATGGCCTTCTGTCACTGTGGTAACCGGTTACACAGGGTAGAAAATGCAGCAAAAACTGCATTTTTACACAGGGTAACCGGTTACCCTACTTTGCCTAGGAAAGTGGTAACCGGTTACCACAGGCAAAACTTGCATATTTCCTTGAAAAATGGTGTTGTGGCCAAGGTTTTGATTTTTGACCTTTTGCTTTGATGAATAGGCATATAAACCTTCATTTTAAGCTTACTTTGATGAAGTGATATCTTTGAGAGGATGTGATTAATCGGGCTTGCAAAATATGAATATTCCTGCAACAAAAATCACAAAGAAAAAGTGCAAATGTGTATGTCAATGATGCGAATGCACATGCTTATGCAAAAGGCAAGAAGGAGGTCAACTTTCGAGTTACGACAACTGCCCCTATTTAATCTTCTTGGACCTGAATATTTGAATTGTGCCAGTTTTTTGATTATTCAAGGTGGAAGAATATTAAATAAAAGAGTAGCTCGAAAGATTTGGCCGACGGAAACTGATGAGGGAAGAAGGTAAAGATGTGCTCAAGAGCAAGGTTTGACTGAGATCTGCTGGGGAGATTAATCATTCAAACGGAAGTATGATATGATGAAGATGCTTTGATGTTCAACGTGATGCTTGATATCATGCTATACAGCGGCAAAGGTCGAGATACGTTTTCTCCGGCGAACAAAGATTATAGCAAAACGAACTTGACATCCTCAATTGAGGAACCCGACGATGTTGTTGAGGAAAGAGCTTAAAAATCTCAGACTTCCAAATTATTATCAACACTATTGCTAGAGAGAAAGGAACTTTCTAACCATAGCTGACCCTGGATGGGGAATGAAGAAATCATGGATGATCTTCATCTAACCAACTCTTCCTGGGGAGGAATAAAGTCAAGATGATCAAAATGAAGCGCCATCACCGCTGGGGATTGATAACCTCGATCTATTGGGGTGCTGCAAGAAATTTTTCTTCTACTAGGGAAAAGCAAACATGCCTCTGCTTGGGGAGAAGAGTGGTTCCAAAGAACCAAACCGATACTTGTTGGAGAAAAGGAACACAGTTGGCAGTCCTAACCAAACATGATATTGTTCACTGAGAATCAAGTTTAAAAAGGAAAACTACCAATCTTCCTTCGATAATTTCCAGTAAAGCATGCAATACATAATGTTTTCCTAGTTGATTTTAGCTTGTATGTTTCTCAACGTTTTATAGCATTATATGATCACAAATAATTGTTCAATTTGCAAAAAAAATACTGAAAAGAGATAAATGAGAAATTAAAGGATGAACATTTTATTGAATGTAAAAAGCTTTTGTACATAAGATGTGCACAAGGATGTAAAAAATCCTTGATGAGGAAATTTACAATAAAATTGAAAAACAAAGTAAATGGCAATGGGGAATTTGACTTTGAATTGATTATAATATTGGCTACCATCCCCTGCAAGTCCGGGTTCTAACACTGTTAGATGCCCAATTTTGATTATTTGAGCTATCAGATGTGGGCATCTTTCACTCGGTTTTGTCCAGAAAGTGTAAAAATCGCCCTTGCTTTTGTTTAAGTTGCAATATTTTGTGAAATGAGCTTGGTACCTTTAATTTGTGTGTGAGTGTGCAGAAATCAGGCATGAAAGAGTAGACTTGGAAGACACAAGAAAGATGACAAGGGAATCAAGAAAGAAGGCAAGCAAAAGCAAGCTCGCTAGGCGAACCTTTGGCGAGAGAGGTAGCGAGTTGTTCGCTAGGCGAGCTCGTAGCGAGCTGCTAGCAAACACTCTCAGACTTGGACAGAATCAAATTGATCATATTTTGCTAGGAGCGAGGAAGGTAGCGAACTACTCGCTAGGCGAGCACTTAGCGAGTAGGTAGCGAGTGCTTCCAGAACTAAAAAGCCCAGAACTCGCTGGAGCGAATGAGCTAGCGAAGGGCTCGCTAGGCGAACCATTCTGCTCGCCTAGCGAGCAAGACAGGACAACAACTTTTCTTCCTATAAGTAGCATGGGGCTAATTTTTGTAAAATATCTTTTTCTACTTCTTTTCAACCACTTTGTTTTGTTTTGCTCCAAGAGAGATTTTTGTGACCTAGAAACCCAATATTTCGTTATTCTTCATCTCTTAACAAGATCTTCCAAAAAGAAGGTGGATTCCCATCCAAACTCGATTCTTCCACTCGGATGTTGATTGACCTTCTCCCGAAACTTCTTGTGCAAGCTACCATGAAAATGAGTAGCTAAGTCCTTCATTTTGTCAAGGTTAGATATAGATGATCATAAGCTTTGTATGTAAATGGGATGATCTTCATTTGTAAACTCTTTGATGATGAATATATGGTGAAAACTTTGTTTTATTGTTAACTCTTTGTGTTGGTTTATTATTGAAAGGTATTTACCAACTCTTTACCTAGGTTTTCATCCATCTATGTTCTTGAGCTAGAGATAGTCTTGAA